AGTAATAGATATAATAAGAAAAGACCGAGTATTAGGCCCAAAACGTGATACCAACGTAGAACAAGAGAGAAGATAACGACCTCGTCTCTTTCTAATGAGAGAAGGTGGGGATAACCTCAAGTCTGTATACAAGGTTTACAAAAAGTCTGGAAATCCCTAAAAATTTCGAAAAATATGTATTTTTAGAAAAAGTGTTTTTTACAAAAATTGTAGAGTTTTAAGAATTGTATTAGGTTGTAGAATTAGTATGATACTGAATGACAGTGTTAAGGTCATATTAAGGTCACCTTCAATTTCTTCAATGGAAACTTCTACTTTTTACTACATATTCTTGTCATATGCTTATCTCGAGAGCTTTTCAAAACACTTTAATAAAGTATTTTTTTGTTAAATATTTTTCTAGTTATGAGACTTGATCAGTAGTTCCTGAGATGCAAACGACCGAAACAGTGAAGCTCTTCGCAAACTAAACTTCAAACGAACGAATGGATGACAAACTAAACTTCAAACGAACGAATAGATGACAAAATTGTTTTCCTCTTTCAAATAGACTTCTACAGAATTTTATTCTTTGGCCCTTAATTAAAAATAAATATTATGTTGAAAATTGAAAAGTCGCCATGAATAATGACATCTCTCGACATTTCCGATAAGGAAGCTTTAATTCTAAATTGCTCAGAGAACCTGTCGGTATAATTTAAAGAGAACTAGGACGTTCTGTACATCGTCATCAATAGATCCAAATTAATTCGTTTAAATTCTACAATTTACTCTCCGAAATTTAGCATCTTAACGTTTGTCGAAACGCGTAGACAATCGGCAGTTAGAATGTTTTCAACGATCACCTTCGATCACGTCGACGAGACAGCGTCCGGAATCGTTCCGCCATTCTTCAGAATCTCGCAGTTATTCGCGACGTTCCGCTTCGCGGATCGCCCGCCGAATTTACGACGAGTCGTACGGAAAAGGTCGCATTATCCAGCCCGCGAACTTTGAGCGCCGCTTCGAGAATCCTTGTTGTTCCAGTGCGCGACGTCCGAATTGCATTCGTCATGAGGGCGGAGGGAGTCCGCCGTTAGATGCCAAAAATCACGGCGATCCGTGGGACACAGGAAACTCCTCTCGTAACACGGCAAGCGTGTCCCCCTTTTTCTCGACCGGAAACGTCATCGCGAACGGCTCATTTGCTCTGATCAGGTCGCGGCGATTCGCGACGGACGATAAAACTGCGGCCCGTGGTGCGTTTACGTGCGCCCCGATCGCAGTTCTTAATCGAGCGGAACGAAAATATATCGGCACAGCGTCGGAGTATATGCCCAATTAAATATCGCGAATGTACGCGCTCGTTTCGCGGACTCCAGCGCGAAAGTTGGTCGCGCACCCGTTCGTTCGTTTGCTCTTCCCTTTAATTCGCTCCTAGGTACAAAGAAAGAGAGAGAGAAACAGAGAGAGGGAGAGAGAGAGAGA